TAAGGACAGAGAGAAAGAACCTTGGAGGACTGGATACATGGTAAGGGAGCTAACTGAGACAAGTGCTGAGGGAAAGGTGCTGGCTGGGGTGTAAGCAGCCATGGATTTAGTGTAGGACTGACTTTTGTGCTCTGGGCTCACCCAGATGGAGACGCCCAGCGGCTAGAGAGCCTGTGTCACATTCACAAGCGGGAGCCCTGCTGAAAATACAGACTTGAGAGAGGGTGAACTAGGTAAGTCAGAAAATGCAATGGAAATGTAAATGGAAAAAACCTAGGGAAAGGAAGTAAGTGGGAGGCGGAAAGTTGGTTGGGGGCCCCACTAACAAGAAGATGAGTGAGAAATCAAAGCACACCTGGGAGAGCCTGACTCTGTCTACAGGTTCCACAGGCACTGCGATGCATTTTATAATTTGTCATTTTCAGAGTGAAGCAACAAGAGCTGAAAGTAAATTGGTTAGTCATGAGTCACCATGTATCTGAATGGTGGCATTATATTAAGAGTCTGGATGTATCTGCCAGCAAGATGCTCAGGACTGGCAGATGTTGCTGGGATTAAGGACATGAGGAAGGAGATGAACATAAGATGAAGAGCCCATAAAAGTACTTTTAAAAGATGAACAACAGGAGTTGATAACAATTTAAAAAACTAAAAAGAAAACTGGAAAACTTGTGCCTCAATTTAGGAACAAAACTTAGTTTTCCTGTTCAGTAGCTCAGCAAAGAGAATCTGGGGGTTCCTTGCCAGCCACTGGTCTCTGGTGAGAAAATTGCAGCCAGAAGATATCTGGCATTGCTTGGGAAAAAATATATAGAGAAAGAAATCTTATCATTTTACCCTAGGATATACATTAGAGTAATATGCTGAGGTCTTGGGAATGTTGTGAAATTGACATCCTCATGTGGCTTCCAAGTAACAGAAACATGGAAAAGTCTAGGATTATATCTAAGTACTATATTCACAGCAATCCATTACTTTAAGTATTGAGCCTCAGTAAATTCTGAAATAACATGTCTAAATATAGAATGACAATTAAAAATAATAAAGGAAGAGATGGGGCCAAAGCAACATTATTGTCTTGTTTTCCTGAGTGATGTGTGGTATTTGAGCGCAGCGCCCACACTGGAATCTCTGGCTATGAGTCAGCAGTGACTCTCTCTCACAGGGCCACGTCCCTGGTCTGGATTAATGGGGAGCTGACATACTCCTCTTCTTGAAATTTTAAATAGATACACCTCAATCTACCAACTCAGGGAGTTCAAATCATTAAAAACCTTACAGAATTACATTATAAGAATTCACAAGCATCTCAAGTATGCTTGGGAGTGTATTCTGGAAATCAGTTTGGTCAGTTATCTGTGGGGCTACTGATACTCCACTGTCTCTAAATGCAGCAGAAATTCCCAGGATCCCCCAGGCCTTCTTCGGAATTGTGCAGTTGGATGTCTCTGGTCATTGGCAGTTGCCAGTCTTACATTCTTTTGGCACACAAAGGTGATGCTTGGGCTGTGTGACTTCTCTTGGGAAGGGAGGACATGGCTGTCACTGTCCTGTGCCCCACTGGTGAGTGGGTTCAAACGCAGCACCCCTAGGTTATCAAAGTCTGTTTCTGGAGCTCATTTCAGGCATGGCGCTTGGTGCTGGGTATAAAATAGTGAAGAAGAATAGCCAGATTAATAGAGGAATCAGAACTTTCTCAAAGAAATTCAAAAGTGACCCACAAAAGTCTACAGTTATAGTCATAAGGACTCTCAAGAAGAGGGAGAGGCTACCATGACATTGCAAAGGGGAACAAGTGAGAAGTGACAAGGTGAAAAGGGGATGGTCAGAGTGGGCTGGGTGGGTCATCACGCAGGAGGGACAGTCCGGTCCGAGAGCTCTGCTGCTTAGAGACAAGTCTGAGAAGGAGCACATTGCAGTCACATTTTTCTCCTTTGAAGACGCTAGCTTTCTGCCTGGGTCCCGATTTTTGTGCATGGCATGCCATGAAAAGTACCTTCAGAAGGACTTTCCCAGGAATTCATCAAAGATGCTGACCCATTTCTGACCCCCACCTTATTAAATTCCAGCCAGAATCCCCAAATCTGACAAGACAGACAAAGTGGATCTTCCTTCTTTAGCACCTTCTATCTCAGTGTTCTTAAAAATCTGTTAGTCCCTGGACTCAGAGACGATAGTTTCTGATTTTATTGGCTTTAAAGTTCATCCCTAAATGAGGATCCATGATTCAAACAATAGAATAGTCATCTTTTCATTAAGTCTGCAGCAGATATTCAAGTATATGTTTTGTGGTTTCAAATATCATCACTGGCTAACTAAACCAACTATAAAATTTAAAGACAGGGGCTGGGGATTTAGCTCAGTGGTTCTGGTGCCTGCTTCGCAAGCACAAGGACCCAAGTTCAATCCCCAGTACCAAAAAAAAGTAAAAATAAAAAAAGAATTTAAAGACAGAACAGTATAGTGATTTAAATTGATGTTAGACAGATACCGGTACATATTTTAGCTCATATGCTTAAACACTCTGAAATCTTGGGCATATTCATTCTATCACGGATACTTAGGCTCTTTATGTGAAAAATAGTTGTGTGGTAGTTGTGAATATACAATCAAAGAGGATATGTAAAGTGGTCGCAAAAACACCTGGAATTTCACCTCAGAAATTATGACTATTGCTGCATCATTATTATTAAGTCCCTTAGTGAATAACAATGTCTTTATGAATAGTATCATTAAAACAGATGACTTTCCACTAAATCTTTCTTTTTTATTATTTAGTAAATACTTCTTGTTTGTTGATATTAGCAATAGCTCCTCTTAATAAGCAGCCCAAGAGATTATATTTTTACAAGCCTTCACACAAACAAAAAACTTCAGTTTTGCATTCCAGTCCAAAAGCATATGGGAAAGACAGTTTCAGAAGCTTTAAATATTAACAAGAGGAACACAGCATAATGATACAGGGAAAAGTGAGAGCGTGAATGCTCAGAATTGCTTTTAGTGGGAAAAAGCAGCCAGCATTTGTTGAGAGCTAAAGATTTTTTTTTTAAATAGATCTGAGTTTAATTGGCAGGACTTGGCATCATTTACAGGAAAATATGTTTTATTTATTTGAGTTTAAATATATTTCAAACACTATTTTAAAATATGGTTCTTCAAGTGTTGGGCAGCTGTTCGGTGCCTCAGGACTTAATGCCCTCTTAGCCTTTTACCCCCAGGACCCCGATATCGATATCTTCCCACGTAATGAAGCTCACACATTAAATGAGTTTGATGGGATGAAGTGGTCCCGTGCGGGATGTGAATGCTGCATACTAGGAAGCCATTTGGGGGAAGTGTCAGGTTCAGCTTGAGAGCAGTTGGGGCAAGAATCAGTGGGTGTGGGTGTGGCACGTTTACCTGGGCACCAACAAAAATAAGGATGAGAGATGAAACTGAACTCTTCCTTCTGTTTTTAATCAGGAGAAAATTGAGGCGTATTTATGAAGTAGGTGAAGAATGTCTTCGCCAAGGTTCCACATGTGGGTTTCTCTCCATTTTTCTCTTTTACTCTCAGGAGAAAGGGATAGGCACATATCCATGAGACACCATTTCTCACTGGGTCTCGGATCACACAGCATTGCATGGTTGGTTTAGCTACACTCTGGACATAACTACTTGCTAGTCTGTGAGTCCTGCACAACTATAGCTTTGTACTTGCCCTACTGCTGTTATTTCCACTTCCAATGATGGTCCCCAGCCCCAACTCCCAGGGCACTTTGGTTAATGCAGCATAAGCATTTCCCTCGTAAACACTTTGCAGATACTTCCTAGTGGAAATGGACTCCCTGAGCAGAGCTCTCTCACCCCTGCCTCTGCCTATCCAGAGCAGGCTTCTGTGGTAGCTTCAGGGTCGTTGTGAGGGCAGACTAGGCTATGATGCAAGAGCCCCACCTCTCTGTGACTTACTGTAACTCGCTCTCCTGCCTGTCCTGGGCATGTGGTGAAGGACTTTCCTTCACAAGATTCACAAGATCAGCTATTCCTGATCTGAGCTGACAGAGGTTCCACCATGCCATCCTGGTACAACATTTAAAACTGACTCCCAGGGGTGAGGGGTGTCTTTTACTCCCTTCTCAATGCCCTGGACCAAAGTGACAAAGATGCTTCTCCTCTTGGTCGGTCCTCAACATCCATGACAAGCCACCAATGTAACTGTGAAGGTGGCTGGGAGATGGAGGTGTGCAGGTGGACTCTGGTCCAACACTGCTGTGTCGCCCAGAACCTGCGACCCATTCTTACTCTCCTGTTCATGACTCCTTCCTCTGTAACTCACATGTTAGCCTCTTGTGTACTAGAAATTGGTCCTCATGTGATGTTCAGCTGACAATGAATTCATGTCAGGAAATTAATAGATGAACCTATAAGGAAGGAGATAGAGGAAGAAACATTTTATGCAGATGAGCTCATTAAGTGCCTGCTGCAATGTAAGCTGCCATTACTCTTATCGTCCCTCAGATAGGACACTAGGCTCCTCCCCTTTGTAAGTACATTATCAACCCAGGCTGACTCTTAAATACTACATTTAAATTTTTGAAATGCTTTCCCTCGCAAGAAGATATCGGAAAAGGCTACAACAGCCTATAATACACTCATGGCTTAATTTACTCTGTGAGTAGGGGCATGCTTTCTGTGTGTTTAGGGAGGCTATAAATCATAAAATCAATGTGGCTTTTCCCAGAGTTCAAATGCTCTGGTAGATAACAGGTTTCCGCTTTCGACAATCTGACCTTCAGCTTCACCTGATGGTGAACACAATCTTGAGGGGTTTTATAGAGGATAAAAGGAGATAGAAGGTTTGTAAAGTGCCATGGACTGTATTGGGCATAAAGCAAACTTCCCAAATTGCTGGCTTGGTGTTGTGCTCACTGCTACTACACTTCCCTGCCCACTCCACAAAGCAGGGGATACTCTTAGAGGAACAAGCAGGACTATCTGAGATGTTGGCATTATTTCCGTGAGATATTTAATGTAAAATATTTGATCTGAAAGGGGTTTCCATTTGTGCATTGAGATCCTTCAGCTTTCAGGAAAGAAAACAGAGTCAGAGGGGATGAAGTGGCTTCTTCAACGTGCTCTTACCACACACTTCCATTCCTGAACAAAAAGCAAGAGCTTGTTAATAAATACTTGTCAGCAATAGATCAATTAAGAATATTAAATTTCTTCCATCCAGTGTGTGTGTGTGTGTGTGTGTGTGTGTGTGTGTGTGTGTGTATTGGGGTAGCTGGCATCTACAAGAGGGGAGTAGGAACCTCACTGAAGAAGTTCCAGCCAATTTGGTTTCTATCTTTAGAAAAATATTCATCTCACCAATGTTTTCAATAGAGTAATTGCATTGTATTCATAACCACCTCAAACTCTTTTCAGCAACTATTTCTTTCCCATGTGAGCTGCATGGTGAGCAGTTTCCATTCCATCTCGAAATAATATTTTCATTTTCAAGTCTAAACATAGTAACTAGGGTAAAGACTTAGTCTAAACTTAGCTGCTAATAGCCCGCTCTGTTAAATTTGTCATTACCATAATTCTTTTTTTCCTGTGTGCAAAACTATCACAGAGTAAGATGAAACAGTCCTTTGTTAGCAACAAAAGCCATTGCTTTTAGCCATGCAATTTCCAGAAAATTAAGAAGGCAGTACAGCATCTTTTACTATTTATGAACAAGTGACAATAGTACAATATAGGATAATTTTGGTTAAAGGGATAGTGGAAGAGGGAATTGGCAGAAAGTGTTCAGTGATGCGGTCTACAACTTGGAGGCTCCCCATGATTTCCAGGGAGACTGATGTCTGAGGAGGGTGTAATGTGGGGCATATTCTGCCGGCCACTGTGGTATGGAACTGCAGGAAGGAGAAAGGTTTTCTTGCTGTTATTTTCTGACTCACTTCACCTTCTAAATGAAAGTCCATATTCACAATTAAATCATTTTCAAACATAATGCTTTGGTCCTAGTTACTTAAACTTGCATACTTTTAAAGAAATAAAGTACAATCACATACATAGCCAGGAGGGCAGATAGTTTAGGGGATCATCTACTTGTCCTCTTAATTTTCTGCAGGTTCATATTTAGCTCATCCCATGAAAGAAACTTTAATCACACTAAATAGCCCTCAGCTCTTGTGCTAAAGGAGAGCCTAGTCCTTCTCATGGGGAATATTTGAATTTTCAGAAATCTCCATGGGGTTTGAGAAACATGGGTAATGAGGGTTGCAAGAAAGATTATAATATACAAATTAGATTTGAGGGTTTTACATACATGGAGATTATTTTCAGATGGACACAGAGAACAGGCAAAACCTGAATCAGCTGAGATCATCCAGTCAAGTTTGGCACTTTTACACAATCTCTTCCATACTGTGGGAACACCAAATTCCATGTAATGTGAGGAAGAATTCATTTTTTCATGTTTGCCCTTACTAGCCTTAACTTCCTTTGTTCTATCATTATAATACTATTTACACAAACTTTCTTGTGATAGACACTGTATTAGTCAGCTTTCCCATTGTTAGACACAGTAGCAGACAATCACAGCTTAAAGGAAGGGAGATGTAATTTGGCTCACGGTTTCAGAGATTCAGTCCATGCTCAGCTGGATCCAAGGCAGAAACATCATGCTGGAAGGGCGTGGAGGAGCAAAGCTGGGGTGCAGAACAGGAGAACAGTGGCAAAGAGAAAGGGGCAAGGGATCAGTTATCACACTTGTGGCCACGCATCCATGACCACCCAGACTTAGCCAGGAGCGTGCTCTACTAATCTGCGAGCTGTTTCTTAATCGAATGAAGTAGACATATCAGGATTCATATTCGCAGACATAGAAATGTGCTACTCAGATCTTCCTCTAAGAAGAGATTTGCTTCCCGATATAAGCACTTCCATCATCAGGCTATTGACAGCTCTTAAATCCTTCAGAGTGAGCTCTGCAGCAGAGCCACCCCAGTTGAGCCACCCAGTTGAGCTGCCCTCCCCAGCAGCCAGCACCTGTGGACTGAGAAGGCAGCGTTGCCAACAACACCTTCCTGCGGATGTGGTCGCGGGGAAAACCCTGGTGGGGTTGTACCTGCTCTAGCTCTCCCTACTCTCCCGATCAAATGTTGTGTTATATGTGTATTTCCAGTTGATTCCTTGGTCTGCTGAACCCTGGATCCTCTCTTCTCCTTTCAGGAGTGTGGATCCCTAATAAACCTCTGTGCCTCAGACTTCGTCTCAGCATCTGTGTGTGAAAAACCCATGATGCTCCCAGCATTGCTCCTTCTAACATGCCTTAGGAAGCCTCATCTTGACAAACCCGGAAAGTGCTCGCTTGTTGTTGCCTGTTCTAAAGCAAGTGAATGGATCTGGAGAAGGAAAATACAATCATCCTGTTTCAGTCTACAAGCATGAGCCCCATCTCTACCCAATCCATCAAACACACCCTACTCTGCTTCCCTGGTGTGTGCTGTTGGTGGCTACACACTCCCCATTTCTCTTTTAATTCTAGAAGATTAATATCATCTTTCCTCACTTCACAGTTTGGTGAGAAAGACCTAGAGGTACTCACTTCATAACTTGGTGAGAAGGGAAAATGTGTCTGGCAATGCCTTCATCTTCCCACCATCAAATCTTCAAAGCTATCTATGTTCATATCCCTGCTCACTGTGTTCAGTGAGACGAATCTCATCCTCTATTCCATTTTGCTCTGATCTCCTTCAATCTTGCCTTTTTAAGGACTTCTTGTTGCAGTATTACTCTCTTTTCTGGCAATATTAATTCAGTCTGCCGACTGGCTCATTCTATCAGGACAATATTGCATGTAGCAGAGGTAGTCCAGTGTAGCAAGGGGCAGTTCCTAGGATGGTGAGATTGTAGGCTGGAGTTAGAGTCTAGGTTTAGACACCAACTCCAGCAGTCTCCAGAGGAAGCACATGACCTCTCTACCCGTCAGTTTCCACCTCTGTAAAATGGAATTTGTAACAGTGCTTGGCTCAGAGAGATTTTGTGAGGATTTGTAAATAAGATCAGAGGAAAAACCTTGCACCTAATAATCAGAAATAAATAGTAGGTATTAGTAGTGTTTATACATCTCATCTCAAGTAACTTGTAAATGAACAAAAAACCCTTAATACGTCTCCTTCTAGATCCTACTCCATTTCTCCATGCTCCTATGCATCAAAATATACGGATTCTTCATTTCCTCACTTCCTCGGTGCTCCTGGGATGGGCCTCATTCCTAGTTCTCTGTGAGGTGTTGGGAAGTGAGAGGTCCACATGACAAATCCAACATCCACATTTTCCCTCACTCAGTACCTCTCTGTACGCTGAGGTGGAGAGACCTGTGGGTAACATGATGCCGCTCTACCTGGTTTTCTGTCTTCTGGATTGAGCCTTTTCTGACTCCTTGGTGAGGTCCTCTTGCTCTATTTAGCCTTCCCCCTGCCTGCTTTCCTCTTGGCTTGGTGCCAGGCTTTTCCTTTCCTTAGTCACACACTTTTTTCCCAGTGACCTCACTGGCCTTTGTGGCTTTAGCCAGCATTACATGGTCTGTTGGGCTCTGGCTTTAAATTCCTTTTCCTGGCCTGTCAACTTCCTTGCAAACATGCTGATCTTATTACTTACTGTCTCCACTAAGGTCACCAAAACCAACTTGTTTTCCTGTCTACTTAAAAACTCAATTCTCCTCCCATCTTCTCCATTTTAACAAAAGGTAATATGTAGTCATTCAAACGAAACAACCGTATTATGCTTTCCTTTACATTACACTTGAATCTCGATGGTCAAGAAGTTCTGCTCTTTTCCCAACATATAACACCAACAGCTTCCTTCACTACATTTCTACCAGTTCTACTGAGAAGAGTAGTTTACTTGTGAAGCACCCTGCAGAGAGGCTGCCCCCAGCTCTTCTCTTTTTCACTATCATCCCATTAAAACCCCCTGCCATCTCTAGAGTCATGAGGATGTTAGATGCAAATTTAATTATTTTCCTGCTTAAAATTCTCCAGTAGTTTCCCACGACACCAAGAACAGCATCCAAACGTCTTCCTTCCCTTGCAGAGCCTCCCCTCTACCTTTTTCAGACATAGGATCTTGGTCTTGTGAGTATGGCATCCTCACCTCCTGGACCTTCTGCTTGTCTCCGGCTGAAGGACTTGCTTCCAAATCTCACATAACTGAGAACTGCCCTCCACTTAGCTCCCAGCTTAAACAGCCCCTCCTTGATGCGGTGTTCTTTCCCTCTATGGTGATGTTAATGTCACCCCACCCATGGTAAGTGTTGATCACATCATCCTTGTTTTATTTCTAATGTGTCTTGTGAGCTGAGATAATTTTGTTTCTTCATTTCCTCATTCTCTGTCTACTTTTACTCATTTAAAAGCAACTTTAACACCAGCAGGACTCTTGTCTGTCTTATACAGTATTTTTTCCCTGGCATATCATGAGGGATTGGAATTAATTCTCAAATGAGTACATTCCAGTTCTTCCATGCCTGCGCCTGATTCCCCTGGCAGCTTATCTCACCTCTACTTGTTTTATTTCATTGGTTCTTTCTTTTAATGTTTTTAAATATATGATTTTTCTTTTGATACCCCACTCACCCTGGGTACAATATTTGCATTTTATTGGTTATGAAATTACTTTTAGCCCAATCAGTGGTGGCCCCCATGAGTAGTGGTCCTATTTCACCCCACTTCTGGTATTTTTCTTACAAGGACTTTTCCTTTAGTCTTTGCCACCAAGCTTGTTGTTTCTCAGATATCCAGGGCTTGGCCCCTGTCCTGATAACTTGAGTTGATGGCCTTTTCTTTGTTTTTCTATGGATCTTTGCAGTGTCAAAGAGACATCTTGGAGGCTGTTCCCAGACTGCAGAAGGAGCTAACTAAAAAGAGGGATACTCTCCTCATCTTAATTTTCAAACTAAACAGCTTTTGAGAGTTTGTGTATTTGTGTGGTTTCAAAATGAAACCACACAAATGGTTTATTTAGTTAGCCACTGTGTAGTAGATATAGTCTGGGAAGTAGCTGTAATAGCATATCCAAGGATATCGTGGGAAGAACACATATCAGCTCCTTCTTGGGGAATGCTGTCTGACATCACTTTGTTGGCTGGTTAGGACCAGGTAGCAGTGGGTGGTAAGGACCCTTTAGGACATGTTTGCTATGTGTTTTATTTGTTAACATCATGCATCTAACTAAATGATGTCTGCAGAATACAGAGTATGGTCCTAAATTCAACAGTTGCATACGGGGCCCAGTTCTAAGATTTTGTGTGGGAAACAAGGCATGCACAGAGGTAAACATAACTGCTTTGGCTCTGCAAGCATCCAGGTTAAAATTGTGCTTCCTTTATTTAATGTGTAACCAGAGGCAGAATGCTAACTGCCTTACAGTCTCAGTTTTCTCATTTGTAAAATAGGATAATATCTCCCATATAGAACTTTGGTGAGGATTAAGTGAGATAGCCTAACATGAACTCTAGAATACAGCAGGGTTGAAATATTTCTTCTCATTCTTTCTTTCTACAGAAAAAAAATGATGTAGAGGGGAAATAAGACAGTTCACAAAATAGTTGTAATTATTCATAAGAAAGATAAAGCTACTGGCTTGTGTCATTTTTTGAAACAAAGATTAGCACACAAATAATTAGTACAAAAAAATGAAAACAACACTACAATCACAATGGAATGCTATTCAGCAAGAAGAAAGAATAAACTATTGTTATACTTAATAACATAGAAGAATGTCACAAACACTGTGTGGAGTGAAAGAAGCTAAATACAACAGAGTAGATTTTCCCATTTATACAAAGTTCTAAGATGAGTAAAAGTATTCATAATAGTGGCCAAAGGAGCTTTCTGGAAAGGATGTGGGGGAGTTTCTGGGGGTGGAAATGTTCTTCATCTTCATTGAAATGGTGGTTGCCTACCTAAGCCCAAACTAACTAAGCTGGACACCTAAAATCCATACATGTCAACTCTATTCAGAAAACCATGTCCATGGAAGATTAAAAAGAGAAGACAGAAGTCTCCCTAAAGGGCTAAAAAGAATCCTGTAGAAATACTCATGTAGCGGGCAGAATGATGGAGAGGTAGATGGAAGTGGAGAGAACACTTGGGAAGGAGCGGAATGGGAGGACTTGTGGGAGGAAGAGGATGAGGAGCAGGAGTGGGAGTCCTGGTGGGGCAACAGTGGGGGCCAGATCATCAAAGCCCGAGGTGGTTATACTTCATACATGGGGCACAAAGGCTGCTGAAAAGTTTTGGTGAGCAAAATCGGTGTGCTTGAAGCAGTGGTTTAGAAAGCAAGTTCTGTCAATTAACTGTCAATCAAACAGAAGACAGAGACAGACCCTGGGCCACTCAGAGTGAACAGATGGAAGAAAGACCACAGGAACACTGTAGCACGAGAGAATCAAGGACAGCACATAGCCTAAGAGAGCAGTACTGTCGACGGTCCTCACAGCTTTACCTTCTCTCTGCCGTGCAACAGAGGAAACCTGCCAGTGGCTCTCGCTGGTTCCATGGACGTCCCCGACAGCTGTCGACTTCCACTGTCTGTAACACGGCAATCCTTTCCAGTGTGCGAGGTGGAAGTGCTCCAACAGTCCAGCTGGGTGACTGCTAAGAGATGCCAGGAAGTAGTATTTTTCCCTGATGAAGTTATTGTATTACTAGGGTTTGGACAATACATGCTCAACAACTCTTTAAATTGTAAGTTCAGAAATGATCAGGCATGCGTATCCTCACTCACGGTAACAAATCTCACAAGAGACTGAGACATAGATAAGAAAACTACCTTAATGAATAAAAATTCAACTAATATCAAGTTCCAGACAGGTAAATGTTGATTGGGCATAGAAAAGGGATACAGAAGTTTGGGAATTCTCCCATGTACTAAAATCCCAAGACAGATACTAGAGTTCCCATTCTCCTTGCAGGAATGCTCAAGCACTTTCTCTATGTCTCCCATCTACTCAAGCCCACTTCAGACTTTTAATGAGAAGCCACTGGTAGAGAAGCTGCAGAGCGAATTATGTAGAATCCATTCTGGAGGATCACCATGGCTGACTGCTATACCCAGTGTCCAAGGGCATCGGTTGCAATGCTGCTCTCTAAGCCTCTGCACCAGCAATGTAGGCCATAGGGACAGATTTTTGACCTCAGAGGTAACAGCACCAGTACTATCTGCAATGGGCCAGTTGTACAGTTTCACGGTGATATTTTGGTAGACCTTCTTGCCCACAGAGCGGCCACCCATATGAGGCTGTGCAGTGTGTGCCTTTACATATGCTGTACTGATATAAAAGACGGTGAATGGCTGGAGAGTTAAAGGAGGACGAGTTTTTGTGAAGCAGTGAGGTTTTACACCTCCAGACAATTCAAGAATTCATGCAATTTTAAAGCTTGTATAAACTTTAGAGAGAACTCTTGTTATGCTTGCCAGAGTCTGAACTTTACCGGGACCAGGGAGCATATCTTACCCGTCTTTATTTCCCTGTTGCCTGATGCAGTACCAGACACAGCCATTTACTCAGGAAATGCATTTTTCATGAAGGAACAACCATCTAGTTCATGCACAGCAAGCATCTGGTGAAGTATTGTTTTTTTTTTTTGCCAGATTGTATCCCTCCAACATGCATAACAGACATTTTCAGCCTAATAAAGTTAATATTTCCTTTCCAAAAGATCTTATATATGCCTTCAGTGCTCTTCTCAAGCCCAAATTTCCTGGAATTGGCCTAAAAATGAAGCAAGTTGGCATTCCTGAAATCTAATATTGCTCTTAGAGATGAGAAACTGGCATAAAATTGGTTAAACATTTCAAGAACTGTCCCCTGTGTGCTCAGTTCCAGATCAAAAGTAAACCAGGCTTTATAGATAGATTCCTAGCCTAGTATGTTCCACTTTTCTGACTTCCTTTTTATTTTATATGAGGTAGTCAAGAATGTTCTGTCTTTGGAGCTGAGTAAACTAAAGAACTATTCAATGAAGGAAGCAAGTGAAGGAGAGGGCTAGGAAACCATACATCTTAAAATAATGCACTTCAGGGTTCAAATGCTCTGTTGTGCTGTTCTATAGCTATGAAAATCATCAAGAGGCACCCATTGGAAGGAAATTTCATTAAATCAAAACTCTGAATTGTTTAGCCTGAGACTAGTAATGAGAAAGCTTATTGTTGTAACAACCCTAACAAATTCTCTAAGTTTAATCATCCCAGCCAACAGTACCTGTATCTGCATACAAAGACAATAGAATTTTCAAGTGCTTTTACAATTAGTATTTTTAAGTTGTCCTCCATCCTTGGACCATCTACATGTTTCCATTTTCTCCTTCCTTGGAACTGACTCACTTTTCTGGTAACTGTGCTGGTACATCAGAGCCCTGTCCCTTGGCTGTTACTGGCTGAACAACTGACAGACACAGGACGTAACCCTGGGAAATTATGGTTTGATATCTTGTAAGTCAGAGCTCTGGAGACCAGCTGGGAGTTGAGTTGTGCCACTGGTGTGATTGTAGGGTGTAAGTCTAGAAGTCGTCCTGGTGTGTTCCTGTTCTTATTTTTCTGTTCTAACATCAATTGCTGCCTGGCTCCTCCAGTGGCCTTTTGCTACCTCCTTTCTGTTCAGGCCAGCTTTACTGTGGTGTGCAAAACTGACAGCCCTCTGACCATCTATTATTCATGATAATAACTGGCGTCTACAGAGCGCTTATCATATGCCAGGCACAACTCTCAATATTTGAATCTAAAACATTCATTTCACCCTCATAGGAAAACACTGAAGCCGGTGTCTGTTATTAGCCCCATTTTAAAGATGAGGAGATTGAGGCCCAGAAAAAGATTTGCCAAAGCACTGATTTAAGAAATCACATACTCAGCATTTGACTCAAGTTAAATCAGCCAGAGAATGAGAATGGTCACTGTGAGATGTAGGGTCCCTTGTTACTTTCCCTGAGTCCTAATTAAAAAATAGCAACCTTAAGCACACATTTCTTAAACTTTGGAGACTAGGGAGTAAATTATTCTTCTATTACCACCATCAGACCTGTGCATGAAGCAGGCACCTACTGTGTGTCTGTCAGTGTGCTAGATGTTATAATTGCCTGCAAGTCTTCGACTAAGGACACAAAGCTGTGTGTTGCTGTAATCCCACTTT